CCGGCGCGGCCGCGGTGGCGGCGGGGCGGGGCTGGGGCGGGCGAGGCGCGGAAAGTCTGCGGCACCAGGTACACCTTGGCGTCGGTGGCGGTGGCGGCAGCCGCGGCGTCCAGGCGGCCGCGTTTTGTCCTGGAGGTACAAGTGCAAAACCAGGCTGTCACCTTCGGTCTAACCTGGGCTGTCGTAACAACAACATAAACATAAACAATATGGCAGGTGTTTTCGATTTTTTATATTTAAATATAGATTTATAGACGCGTACATAAAAAATATTATTTACATTGTTACAGAGTAGTATGCTTTTTTATCAACTAGTAAGCATACAATCGTACACACTGTATGCAACACATTCGATCCGAATCCACAAGGTCTAACGACCTAAACAGCGATTGCGGACCGCCAGCGAAGCATTTTCGTGGTCAACTAAATTTGAAAAAGAAAAAAATGGGAGCAGTTTTTGAGAATATTTTCTTTAGAAATTGCATTAACTTCAAGCAGAAATTATGCAGTGACCTACTAACTTTTTCAAAAAATACACGATTTTTTTTTAAGTCTGATTTTTTTGACCAGATTTTGTTTAAGACAAAAATCTGTCTTCAAATAGCTGTAGTAGGCATTATGAGAGTTAACATTCCATACCATTCGAAATACAGTAGTTCGCAGGAAATTGAGACTTTTGCCAATTTTACCGTCTTTATATACATGAGGATAATGGTTTAAGACAAAATTTGGAGCATGTTTTGAGAAATATTGTTTAAAAAATAAACTGCTTTTTCAGCCAACACAATTCAAAATTCACATTCCAAGCAAAATTACCGCCAAAACGACTCATATTTTCAAATAAATTGTACATTTAATTTAAAGATTTGTAATAAACAAATTATATTAGAAGAAATTCTCTATCTTCAATTTTTTTCAGTTGCTAGCACACGAAAAATGAAGCTGTCGCAATATTTCTGGCCCAAAAGAAGCGAGAAGCCCACCGCGCCGGCCGCCCCCACTCCCGCCCCCGCCCTCGCCGCCGGCGCGCGCGCGGGCGTCAGGCGGGGCGCCGCCGGCCGCCGGCCCTTCTCCTGCACAGACGTCGAGGTGAGCCCCGCCCACTCGCCTTTGGCCCGCGCTGGTGGCGTCCAACGGAGGAGATAATATAAAATATAATACGGCCTATATTTGCTATTACTAGACAGCCACACATTGTTTATCAAAGGAACAACCCCATATATCACATTATTTATGGTTTATTGATAAGCTCTTTTCTTTCACAATGTTTCGGTATCCTCCTTTTCCTATCAACAGGTGTCACTTGTCTGTGTATTCCGAAGAATATTACTGTTCTGTGATTTGCGTGGTCTTACATTGTTCTGCACTATTACTTGCAACTTGCAAAGTCGACTACAAACAAAATCAGACTATAACATGACGTAATGAAGAACAACGGAAGACAATGCAAACCAAACAGTAATATTCTTCGGAACATGCAAACAAGAAACTCCTGATGATGGGACAAGGTGAATACCGAAAGGTTATGAAAGAAAAGTTTTTATCAATAATGAATATATAATGTGACATTAAGGGTTGTTCCTTTCATAAACATTGTAAGGCTATGTAATGAAACCATATGTATGATGTATTATATAATATAAAGTAGAAATTAAGGCATCCAGTGAGAGCAACTTAATGATAATATGAAATCATTGAAGGGACATGGGGACAGACAGTAACAAAATGTAATCATAATATTTTGATTTTGGATGAAGAGTGACTTGGCTTTGTACCGCCCTAATCCCTTCATTGTATGAAGAAGTCAGTTATTTAGTTTCAAGATACTATAATTTGATCAAAAATTGAGATATTGACATTTACAATTTTGCCAAATATAGTCAGTCATAGGAAATGTCCTACTTTCTATAGTGGCAGAATTTCTGTGGCTGATGTGGCTTATCTTGTTACTACTGGTGATTATGAGCTCACCCTTTAGATGATCCTGATTATGACATGTTTGTAAAAAGTATGATCACTAATAAGTTGTGTCGTTCCAGGCCCTCCGGCGCAAGGGATTTGCGCATGTCCAAGACTGGGAGTCACTGACCGTACTCCTCCCTCGAGAGTGTCGTCGCATCTTGGAAGAGGTACCTGAACTGGAGGCTCACCTGAAGACTGCAGCACAGGTTGATGAGAAGCCACACTTCTGTGCTTCTCCGCCTCCCCCTCCACCTGCAACAACAGCCACAGCTGCCCATGGCACTCCAAAGAGCCGCCGCCCACGCCCTGCATCTTGTGGTGATTGCCCAGCTGACACAGGAGGGGCTCTTGAACCGAAGGTACGTTGCCTTGATTTTTGAGTTGATACTGTTTTTTAAATATTTTTTTGAATGATTGAAGTCCAAAACATTCTCATGCTTTGAAATATAGAAATTGTTTCTGCCTTTTATTGATATGTAAAATCAATACACTTCAGAATTTATCTCTTATCTCTTATCTTAGACAAATGTTATCTAGTCAGAATACTTTTTATAGTTCAGAAGTAGAATAAAGAATTAAAATTTTTATTAATAATAAGAGTGAGTTTTATGGTGAAATATTTTAATTTTATATTTAACATCTCCAGTATTTAATAATAAGTATTCTGATTGTATCATATTTAGATGTTTATTAATTGTGGATCCTAAAAACAGTGTGGACAGACACACAGACTTATCCATATGAAACATATTCTCCAAATCTTAAGTTTAAAAGCATGTAAAAATTAAAGCTAAATTCTGGAATTGTGTAATTACTCACCGTATTCCTTTATAAAATGCAAATTCATGAGGACACATGTAGCTAATGTGCAAATGTACCTATTAGAGTATAATATTAAATATATTCAGAAAAATATCAGAATGAAGTACTGAAATTTGCTTTGTATTATAAAAAATATTATATTAAAGTTCTGTTTAACATTTTCTAGATTAATTTATTCATTTCTTAAGCTTTTCACATTTTGTTTGAATGTTTTGGTGTTTTAGTAGCATGTTTGTTGAAATGAACTGTTAAATGTTTGGTGATACTGTTTCTTGCTGGTGCTTTGTCTGTTGTTGTAAATAGTAATACAAGAAAAACATAATATTTACATGTAGTGTACATACATTCACACCACTATAGCCACATAAATTGTTTGTATTACATTCTTTTCTTTCTGTTTTGTGTCTAAAAGGGTATTGATATTTATTTACTTACATGGTGGTGGTTGTGCTGGGCTGTCATGGGAATATTTGTTATCAGTCAAAACTTCAACTTCTCTTGAAATTTCTAAAAGTTTTTTGTCTATGAAATCAAAAATTCAAAGATTAACATTGTCTTGTAGATATATGTAAAAATTCAATAATCAGCAAAATGAAAGCTGCTAACTGAAAGGAATTACCTGCAACCATTGATCAACATTTCAAGATTATTTTCTAATCTGTAGTACAAAAACCTGTCTTATTTATTCAGCCACTACAATTATTCATTTGCAAACATTGTTCATCGAGTGGGAAATAAATCATATGGTGAATTGCCTCTTAACAAGATTCATTTTTGTTTTTTATTATTTAGTTATTAGTCAGTAGTTGTTATTTTCTATAATATTTCCAACCCAAATATCTCACTACAATCATCATAAATATTTTTGAGACGTTCTGGTGAAAATACTTGCCAGCTTCTCGCAAAATTCAAATGCACATTTTTTAAAATAATATTCAGTTATAATTTGGAAATTATCCATCAAACTAGCTACGGGAAGCACAAATGATGCTCAAATAATGAAGCAAAAGGCCATTAGTTTAATGCTTTGACAATATAAATACCCACAGTATTCAAGAACAAAATAGTTGCACAATTTAACTTATTTTATATGAGTTTATTATAATTTATATGAATTATTTTTAATTTATATCAACTTTAATTATTTTGTATGAATTTTATTTAATTTATTTAACAATGTTACCATATTTACCAATTTCTTAGCGTATCACCTTTTGAGTTATCAAATATGAAGATTTTGCATTCTCCTGAGAAAGATCTCAGCGTATCTATCTTAAAAAAATTCCTCTCCTCAAGATGTTTTATGACCATGAGAGAGGATTACCAAGAATGTCACCAGCAAACTATTATTTTATAATTTTGTTAAAAGGGTGTGCCAACATCCAGTTCATCATCAAGTACCGCCACTCAGCCTTCCTCCGGGTACCGAGGTTCCTCCACCATGCTGTTGACTGACTCCAGCGGAGGACCTCCACCAACTACTGCGCCAGCCTACAATCCACTCTTTGTGTACCGATATGACAGCGTAAGCTCAGAGGGAAGCATGATGAGCACACCAGCTCCTCCACCAAAGCGTTCTGTCTCACTTCCAAACGGCAAGAAGAATCCTGACAAAATCACATCATCTCCCTCCCCACCTCGACCACCTCTACCTAGAGGTATACTTCGTCAACCAGAAAAGATTCTTGCACCTGCTCAAACAACCATCACCGCCTACAATTGCAAGGTGCACAAGAACCAAACCAACAGCAAGCGGTACAGCATGTTTGAACTGGGTGCATGCAAAGGGTCTTCTTTGCTGGAAGATGATGAGTTTGCAGGACTCTATGACAATGATGCAAAGATGCGTCTGGGCCGATTAGGCCCTTCAAGAGCTCGAGCACAAACCCTTGGAACTGCAAGTGATGCTAAGGAAGCTGCGCGAAGGCTAGCAGCATGCTTGCACCCAGAGAAGGACATTGATGAAGCTGAAGATGAGGAAGCAGATGAAGGAGTTGATGCGGTGAGTTTTCTTTTTGTTTTTGTAGTAGATAAGCTGTGATGTATTTCTTGACAGCTTAGAGATAGCATACTAATTTTCTTGAAAATTCTAATCTTAGGACTTCATCCAACAAATTTAAGAACATAATTCAAATGAGTAAGTTGGTTAAAGATGAGTTTATTTAAACACCTTAAAACATTCCAACTTAACAAATTAAATAAAAAAATACTTCACAAATTAAACGTTATTTACAGAAATATAATGTGCCAAAGTTTCAGTTTCGACTGCACTATTTCCATTGCAGAAGTGCATAGAATTTAGACTTGCTGTGAAAATTGTGTAGTTTTGAGATTTCTCTTCTAGGTATCATAAAATAGCAATATGAGTAACATAAAAGTTACTGATTATGTTTGATTCAGTTCTGTAGCAATGCAATCTTGCCTAATAATTTAAAAAAATGTGTAACTTATCTACAAGTCAAAATATCATATTTTTACTTACAGAATACTGTTCTTTAATTATTCATCTGAAGTTGTATTCTCTTAAAGTCATGTGCATTGTTTGGTTGTCATGTTACAAAATATAATTATTTTGAGCTGTGAAGAGATCCATGGCAGTATTGCTAGAAATGATACAAAATGTAGCATAATATATCACTCCTTTGTAGTCTTGTGTATGTAATGATTGTTAATACCAATACCTATCTTCTGTATGAACATCATGTTGTCTTTCTTAGATTTCTTTCTTATTGAACATGCAGCCCATTTGTCTTTTATATATTAGTTCCATGATTCCATTGTTTCATATGTTATTTCAATATATTATTTAGCAAAGATAGGATGAACATTAGAACAAAGTGCCTTAAATATTATTTACAATATTTATCAAAGTAATGTGTTTTCTGGTGCAAAAAATATTTTATTTTCTTGCAATAATTTTTCACACATGAAGATCTTCTATTACGGGGTGTAGTAATTGTAAAATGATTCAATTTTTTGAGAAAATCTTTTTTCTTGGAAATAATCACAAAGGGTAGATAAAAATGTCATGTACTGGCAGTGACAGATTAATGTGTCCACCCAAAGAACATATAATGAGGATGCTGAAAGTAAGAGATACTAAAGTTTGCAAATGGAAATAATATTTCTATTATGTAGTAAAATAATTTTTCTGGGTTTATTTCTACTTTTCTTTGCAATTTAATTTGATACATTTTGTATTTCCCACTTATAATTCAATGGCAAAATGGAAAGGAAAGCAGTGCCCAAATGATAACATTCAATCTAGGCCTTGCCCTGCAAACCAAACCATTTGTGTTGTAATGTTGCCTCCTTTGTCTTTCTGTTGTAATTTTTCAGAATTGTTACAATTAGAGATTTGTAGAATGTATTGTGTTAATAGATATGTCTCCCTTCCTTTATCTTATTTATGTAATAAAATCCTCCAGGTTTTATTTACCAAAACAAACAAGTAAAACAAATACATCTGTCAGTGTTGATTCATTCTCTATGTTTACTTTATTACGATTAATCATAAATATAAATATTCACTGAATCATGAACAAGATTCATTCACATTATTTTTGGCTTCTGGGTTGTGAGCAATGATGGAAGACATTTTTGTTTTTCATCAGTTTGTTAAATTAAATTTGTAGAAAGATACAAAAATTCCATAAACGATATGTTTCTTCATTTCCTAATACTGTCTTTCCATAACTAATTAACTCTATAAAAAGGACTTTTTATATTGCTTTATGTACCTATCTTTGTGTTAAATGTCTTCAATTTACTGAATGGTATCTCAATGGATCTTATTCTTCTCAAGTGTTGTTAGTATTTCACAATTGGCATGCCATGTTTCAGGACTTAGACATCTGTATTTCTCAGAGAGGTTCTTAATTGAAAATTTGTATAGAATATTTTCCTCTTGTCTGTTTGTCTGTCCATTGTTCAGCATCCTTAATATTCAGCTCAAATATCTATGAGCTACTGCATGAAACCTGCCTTCAATTAAATATTATACCATAAAATCAAAAAGCAATCTAATATTGTCTGAACACATCTAAAACTTAATCATAAAAAATACATTTCACTACAATTGGTATGTTGCGTAAGTATTGAAAAGAGATACACAACATATTATTAATCATTATTTGCTAGTTATACAATACATTTTTTCAGGTTCTATTGATTTATTTTTATTATAACTAGTACTTATAAATATATTTTTCTCCAAGTAATAGGACATATTACTAGAAAACTTAACTTTTTTCAATCATGATTTGTCACAATGACTAATATTCTAAAGAAATAAGTATTATACAAGTACTTTCTTCGACAAGTATGTGATGTAGTTAGAGAGAGAAGGGAAATTGTAAAAAAATATTTGATTCTAGAATGAACTTTTTTTTACATGTAGAAACTAAAAGAACTCTCATTTGTTACACAGTAATTGATATGTATATATATTTTGTAATTTCGGCAGAAATCTCTCTTGATGGCATTAAGTTGAGCCAAATACACATTCTCTGCATTGTTCATATGTCCACAAAATTGTGTATCGTGTTTAATAGAATAAAAATTGAGAAGTAAATAATTTTATTGTACTTCCTCCCAATTGTCAACAAGTGCATCTAATGTCGTATTGTGTAATGTTTTGCAGGATGTCAGTGATGATGTCAGTGGAGGAAGCATTGGGGAGGTACTCCCACCCATGCCACCAATGCCCCATCGGAATGCTCCAGTGGCTGCTGTGGATGAGCTAGTAGATGATGATGAGGAGGCTGATGAGGAAGGCGAAGGAGCTGCATTATCTCTTGAGGAGCTGCTGCAAGTCAGTGCCCTGTCAGCTCTGGGGCCTGCAGCAGCCGCTGCTGCAGCAGCTGCCACTGATGGTAGCACCACTGGATGGGATGACACCCAAATGCAACGCCTGCGACTGCAGGTAGGGCATTTCTAAAACATATTTTTGAAAGGGATGTAGGCCAACTTGAGAGGCATACCTCAGTTGACTTATTAATTAAGAAATAGCAGTTTTTAACCTCTTCTTATTATAGAGCAGAACATTCCTTCACAATTTATAAAACATCACTTGGAACATTTAAGAACTGCCCAGTTTAGTTGTGGTTATTGTTTGTTTTTTTAATTCCTTATCATAATTAGTTGTTTCTAATTAGGTATTTATTATTTAATTTCTTTTCCCCAAAAAGCCTGTGCAGGGGGGAAAGTTTATTTTTTCATTATAACATGATATATATTAGTTACATTTAGAATTACAATGCAACAATTGAAGCTATACATTTTTGTTACAAATTGCTATATTATTTTGTTTCAATTGCAACTTTGTATCTAAGTGTCATTGTAATGATAGAATGAATTTGAGGAAAGAAACATTATTTTATTTTTTCTCAGTGATGAAACTTCAGAATTAATATTGAAATTTATACGCACATTGACATATACTTTTGAAAAGAATTGATATCAATTGAAGGTATGCGGGCTGTTTAAATTAGCCTTGTCCCCTTAGTTGATATTTGAAATTGATTGAAACATTTTTCTAATAATGATAAATGAAAGAAAGTAATTACAATTATTTTTATTCATTCCAAAGAAAACCACAAACTTTGGAATACCTCTCAAATGTGATTAATTTGTGTGTTTTTATTACAGGTGAGTAAATTTTTATTGGGCCAGCAACCAACTGAACCAGGGGCAGACTGCCGTACACCTCACAACACCCCAGAACATCATGCAGCTGGCTGTGCATGTGGCCCTGCTCACAAGAAGAGCGTGAGCTTTGCAGAGAGAGCAGCTGCGTCACCACTCAGAGAAGATCATGAAATGAGCCCCAGTAGCGGTTCCATCGGTTCTATTGGATCGCCTACAGACACTGAACTGGCTCATCAGAGAGGTGAGTACAAGTTTCTCTTGGATCTTCATGACTTATCAGTATTAAATATTGAGTTTTTTTAAAAATGTGTTTGAGGTTCTGAAAGTACTAGGGAAACTTACAAAATCATATTACCACTACTACACATACCATTACCATGTACCACAACTTACTATTGATTTTGTGGGTAATTTGTACTCCCATCTATTAAAAAATAAACCACAATAATGTGCTTTTTATAACTGCATATACCTTTCTGAAAGAAAACAATGACAAGATAAATACAACTCCGTTACGATCTTAAAATTATGTTACTTTCTTGTAAATTAGAGGGTTTTTTAAGTTTATTTTTACATAAACAGTGTTGTTTTCCTCCATATAAATATCAGCATTCTATTATTAACTGTATTATATTTACATAAATACAAATTATTATGATTATGGAATGCTTTCTTGTATTTTTGGAGTTTTGAGATGTATTTCAATAATTTTCAATTGTCTTTTGAAGTGGTTATAATAGCTTAAAATGTTCTGTATTAAAAATTTGATGCATGGGAGAAATCAATTTTCATTAAAATATATTTATTGGAATATAAATACTACTGTGATTTGTTATTGAATTTAATTGTATTTAAATTACTGTCTATGATATAATTAGACAATATGATTGCACAATCTATTTTCCTAACAAGACTCCACGTTGTACAGTTTCAACTTGACAATAAAACCAAATTCTTTTCTTTGTGATGTAAGTGGAAAAGTGTATGACTACTTGTTTTCTACTTTGCATGGTTGCATGTGGTGTGCACAGGTTTGGTGATGGCAGTGGCTGGGGCAGTTGATGCGCTGGTGCGACTTTTCTCAACCACTCATGACCCAGTTGTGGCAGCTCCTGCAGCTGCAGAGCTTGCCCTGACAAAACTTTGCCCAGCATTATATGCAGTTCTGGGTGATGGACTGAAAGCACGCTTGGACACCCCTTTTGGTGCTATTCCCAACTCTGTATGGCAGGTCGTGGAGGCATCAGCTCAACAAGGTAATTTTCATTTCAGCATCACAATTCATCTCTCACTGAAAAGTGAAATGTAGTACAACATAAAAGGAGTGTGAATTTTAAGTCATGAAATTGTATAAAGAAATGAGAATGAAACAGTGCAAGATGATATGGATGAAGTGCAAATCTGTCTAATGCCTTATGTGACCATTTAATCTAAAATGAAAGGGTAAAGCCTGAAGTAGGAACAGCTTTGTAGTGTGTTTTGTACTGTAGCTGGACGAAGTTGACATTAGACAATACACAGAGGCTAGGGTTGTTAGAGTATGTTATGATGAAGAGAACTAGCAGGTAATACATGATAAACAGGAGTTGGGCCACTAATGCGAATTTTGTAAAACTATTATTTCTTACATCAAGAATGAATGATTTCGTAAAACATCAGGGGAAACCGGGAAAATATAGGGAATTCAAAGTGCTGATAATAAACATGAGACATGCAGGGTTTGTCACATCAAAAAATAAAAATTCAGGGTGGCCTCTTTCTGGAAAACCAGGAAAAATAAGAGAATTTCATTCATCTGAAAAAGGGAAAAATCAGGGAATTTGTGGAAGAATTGTTAGAAGTAAGGGAAACTTTAGAGATGATTATAAAATATTTGCGTGGTATGTTTTATGTAGTAATGTACTATATGTAGTAAAGGTATATGTTCCAAACAGAAAGTAGTTCAGCATTATTGTTTTCTCAGTTTCTTTTTTTGAGTTTATTATAATTTGTACTTTATCATGGAGAAGTCAGAGAGCTGACAAATAATTTCAGATTTACTTACATATTGTGTTTAAATAGTGTGAAATTCTCAACAAATCTTGTGAAAAATTTTGAAAGATGCTCTGGAAAACTGGGAAAAGTCAGGGAAATTTGTTTCAGAAAATAGAGTGGCCACCCTGAAATTATGTAGATAGTAGTAGTCTGAGAAAGAGTCAAAATTTCATATGAAGTTATCTGAGGAATATGTTTATAGAAGAATTAAACCACCTCTAAATTTGCATACCTCTAACAGGGAAAACTTTAAAATGCAGAGAAATAATTAAAAGGTGGCACTGTGAAAATTTTTGCTTTGTGAAAACAGTGCAAACATTTCTTTAGGACTCAGTTTTCCTGTAAGTCAAGCCCTCTGTGGAGACTTGCAGCAGGGAGGGGTGGGTCTGGACAGGGGGAACATGTCCACCTCATTGAAAATGGATGAAATAAAAATTTACTTTTTTTAACAATAATACCTCAAGCTCTAAAATTGTGCAATCAAAACTCATTATTTGTGAATTAGGGATAATATTTACAATTATTTTTAATAAAAAATTAAGAAGGTTGAGAGTAAATTCACATTAGTATTTCCAATAGAACATAGTAATTCAAGTAGAAATATAAAAAATATTGTTAGGATGTTTTGTTTTGAAATTGTTTATAAATGAAAATGCACAAATTGAGAGTACTGCAAAAGTTAAATATTTATTACTATACAATATATTCAATTAAAAGTTGTTTTCTATTCTTTTGAAAATGGTGCCCTTAAGTATTTTCTGAAGCCATCCTAGAAGAAGAGCTAAGTCCTCTTAAGAGGTCAGAAAAGCTGGGTCCAGTGGATTTTATTACTAGAAACATCTGAGATGCGTGTCATGAAGTGCATGAGAATTACCCGACGGCAGTACTACATAAAGTAGGCAGTCACACAATGGCTTGTTGTATGATTTATGTAAATACTTGTAAATGACTTGCACATGATTCTTGAAATACCATGAGTTACACGAGTTGCAATTGTGTTAAAGTTGCAATTGTGCTTTCATTTGTGTGATGAAGAGAAGGGATAAGTGCAAAGAGCAACTCGGAAATTATTTAGGAGAATGGAGAGGGAATAGATGAATAGATTAAAGGAAACAATTTGTATAAAAATTGAATTTACTTATGGTAAAAAGTATCTACTAAACTATATTTTCTGAGTTACTTGTACTACCTTTTCGCAAACTTTAAAATACTATATTTCGGACTTACAGTAATTATTTATATTATTCAACAAATTCACTAAAGATAAGGATCTAAGTGCCTAAGGTTTAAGTTGGTGAAGTGTGGAACCTCCAGGTCTCCAACAGGAGTGATTGAATCCTGATTTAAAAACTTGGTAGCATGTCAATCTTTTAATTGAGTCCCTACCTCATTTCAATATTTACTAATCCAGCTAATTATTTTCAGTTACTAGAAATTTATATTTTGATGGGAATCAACATTCTTGCCCTGTACAGGTCCTCAAGTATTAATAAATTTGTAGATGTGTGATGAAAAATATTTAGCAGAGCAATAAGAATATAGCCATTTCGCTTGTGAAACTGATGTTTCACACCAGAAACCATGAAATACCCCTTAAAGGAAATTCTTTCAGTGATCGGCATATAACTCCTTTACACCCTTAATATCGCATGAAAATTGTAATAAACTGACAACAGTAGTAAGAATGAAAACCTATTTAACATAACTAATCACTCATTATAACACAAACATAAGTATTATTTAAATTCATACAAGACATGTATGATGCATATTTAAAATTTATGTTTGTCCATCTTTAAAACCTAATCCAAAATTTCTTTAAACTACAATACTTGATCTTCATACAGTTAATTTTTAATTCATTTAGCATTTAGTAGTCAATATCATTTCACTTGACCGATGACTTCATTCTTCTTCCAAACCACGTGTAGTGTTTTCAATTCATTCAACCATATTGATATTACATGACTGTTTCAAGATATTGTCGCTTGAAAAACGTATAAACTTGTAAACTTGACTATGCATGACCACTATTTTGTTCATCTGTCCTCACATCTACCATCCGCCGTCTACCGAACATTGCATTGCTGCACAGCATGCACATCTGAACTCCGAGTGTCTTTGCCACCATCATTACTATTTCAGACTTTTTTGTTGTCTTCAAGCAAACACTCGATTTATTTTATAGCTAATCACAATGTATTCAAGTAAACATATTGTCTCAGTCTTTTGTTTATAATTTATTTGCAAAATAATATTTTTCCTATTTAATAAAGTTGTATACTTTTACACCTTGAGAATTTTCTAATATGTCAAGATTTAATTATTCAATAGTCTGTATTTACATATTATAGTTATTTTCAATAATTTGAGATGTGGATTACCTACAAAAAAACAACAAACCAGCATGTATGGATACTCTGTGTGTATCATACAATATTACGTATGGATATCCCATGTTCAAATCATGGCTCAGTCAGACTTTTGTGGACAGAAGTACAAATGACCCCTAGGCAGGGGCAGGTGGGCTGAAGGTCTGTTCTGTACATGTGGCAGACTCTGGGAGGGAAACATGCCCTCCACCCCATCCAGCAAACATGTTTTGTATTTTTTACTCAGTTAAAAATAATACCATGTATAGATCCGAAGTAGTATATTGAACATACTCGGTCTTTTTTTAAATTTTAAGGTATCCATTTTTTTTAAAAAAAATGCTGTATATTATTTGAAAACTATTTATAGCTTTGAACTGAAATTGTCCTCTTCCCCCTACATCTGAAATACTTTCTGGATTCGGCCCCTATTGTACGCAGTTTGTGACAGCGGCGAAAAGGGCAGGCCGTTTGTCGCACGTTGCGAGTTCGTGTCGGTTCTTGGCTTTGATGTGTGGGGTGCGCGTGCGCAGGCCCGATGACGCAGGCGCTGAGCGAGCTGGTGCTGCGCATCAACGGCGAGGACGTGCTGTCGGAGGGCGCGCTGCGCTTCAACGCCTTCGCCTTCGCGCTGCTCAACGCGCGCTCGCTGGACGCGTGGCTGGCGTTCGTGCGCACGCGCGAGCGCGTGCTGCGCCGCCATTACGCGCCGGCCGCGGCGGGCTCGGGGCCGGGGCTGCTGGCGGCGGCGGCTGCCGGGGCGCCCGCCGCCCGCGCGGCGCTCGACCGCGTCGTGGCCGCGCTGCAGCCGCTCGCGCTGCTGCCCTTCCGCCTCGACCCCCTGTACGAGGCGCGCCGCCTGCACGCCAGCCTGCGCCGCCTGCGACAGCTCTCGCCGCAGGTAACTACTTCATTGCCACACTCTGGAAATTTCATTGCTCTCTGGAAAAGTCGACACAAAATGTGGGGAAGAATTGTTAGAAGTCGGGAAAAATCTTGCGATAAGAATCAATATTATTCCTAAAAACAAGTCTATTCATTACCAAGTCAGGGTGGCTATTCCTTACTAAGTCAGGGCGGCCACGTTCTGGAAAATACAGGGGAAAACGGAATTTGGGGAAAATCATCAGAAGTCAGGGAAAATCTTGAGATGGTTATAAAGATCAATTCATAGAGCTGATAAATTAGTTTCAAGCTTGTTCCAATATTTCCTTTAAAAAGTATAAGATTACGAATATTATCTGTGAAAAATTTTAACAATGCTTTAGAAAACTGGAAAGAATCAGTGAAATTTATTTTAGGAAATGAGTGGCCATTCTGCATACGCTTTCCTTTCGTCTTACTGAAAATGGATCGTCACAAATTCCAAATATGCGATCCCATGGAGATGCAAGCCCGTGACCTTCTGTTCCCCTGACTGATGCTCTAACTCAGGCCTCTCAAGAGGGTGACCTGCTTGGCATGTCTGGGGTCAGAGCTTATCTTGCGGGCAACCAGCAACTTATCTCTATGTTGAGTCAGCCCGAAGGCAGGAGTGAGGGGGGGAGGCGAAAGGAGGCGCCGCTTGCATTGCTGAAAGAGGCAAAGGGGAAAGGGAATTTCATCTGAAAGATCTGATCAAGACAGTGATACATGGGTCACTGCAGAGGGCGCGCATGAGAGTTTGGTCTTACATTTGAACAGCACTGGTCTTAACTGGCAGAGTTACAGAATCAAACATTGCATTCGTGACAATTTAATAATTTTGTAGTGATCTTTATGGTACATGTGGCCTGAAGGGTGGATTTGGAATAAAATGGAATGACTGTAGATCGAAATGAAATGGAATGAATACACTTTCTGACGATCTATTTTCAGTACCTAAATGTATGTACTACATTAGCACTATTTCGCTTTCTTGGAAACAATTATTTCTAAAGACACCCCCACTCGACACCGAATGATTCAAATGTTAGCTTACAATATGTTAGTTATTCCATATCATTTCATCTTCACCCATCATATCAATTATAACCTAATCTTTTATTCTTAATTCAGTGGTATAAGAGGCTTGGTTTGGATGTAGGAACGTACCAGTAATTTTTCAATAGGAAGAGATGTAACATTCCAATTCCAACATTCGTATAACATTCCAAAACCACATTCACAAACCAATGAGATGTCTCTGCGAATCGTGTGTGTGAGCGTTGAGTCGCTGCGTCCCGCAGGGCGCCGCGCCGTCGGCAGCCTTCTGCGAGGACGGGCCGGAGGCGGCGGGCGAAGCCGCGTCGCCCGCGCCGGGCGCCAACGCCAACAGCAGCGCCCCTGGCGGCGCGGCGCGGCAGTGGACGCTGCGCCAGCTGGTGCGCTCCATCCAGAGCAGCCTGACGGCGTCCACGGACGAGGAGGCGGCGGCGGCTGCAGTGTCCGCTCCCTGGCTGCCGCCCCCGCCGCCGCCCCCGCGCAGCCCCCGGCGCTCGCCCGAGGCCCTGCTCCGACAGGTCAGCTCCCCCCCCCCGACATCACCAAAGCCCTCGCGCCATGCGTCCAAACGAACATCTATGGAGGTTTCTCCCATCAGTTCTAGGCGAATGTCGGAGCGGTAGCGAAACAAACGGGCCACGAACAGTGCGCGATTTTTTTTTATTCCTCTTTCTTGTCCTGTCCTCACTTTTTTCTTACTCGCACTTACGCTTTCATGCACAACATTATCACGCATGCCGGGAGATCAATCGGGGTCTTAGAGCTTGCCCCGGTTGAAGGGGTGCCCCACTGATTGGAATTAAATTGAATTAATGCTTTATTTTACGTGGCGAGACACGGGCCATCTGGCCCGCTCTGACCATGTTTGACCACGCAAATTTCGCTACGCTCCTTTCACCAACTAGCGGAGAAAGGAGGTTTCTTCGGCGACAAAAGAGGCGATTCGAATTTAGCTCAGAGGCTAGGAGGCTCTGAGGCTCATTTAGGGCGCTCATTTAGGCTTGAGGATCTTTTACATGCAAGTAAATCTACTAACGAGACAGACGTCTTTACTTCCCCTCCGAAGGAAGTCGTACGAAGGATTTTTTCGCCCTTAAAAATTCACGGCGTCGATTGGGTTTGAACCCGTGTATAATAGTTCGATACGGTAATGGAGATACATGGCTGTAGGAGATGCAAGCATGGCTGTAGGAAATGAATCAATCCGGTGTTACCCGGATATTCGTTGATCACAATCATCTCTTACGGGATCATCTGGAACGGGAATGAATTATGTACGGTGTAAAATAGAAGTATACATTTTTGTACATCCTTGCCATGCTCTCTCCATTCCTTCCCGTCCCATCCATTCCGCTACCCTCTCCCAGCTCCATGCTCTTTGTTTCACATGTCCTCTCTCCCCGCACCCCCGTCTATCCACCCTATTCCGTCCACCGCCCATCCTCTCTCACCCCACAACCCCTGCCCGTCCCTCTGCAAGACAATCCCTTGACGCATAAGTGCAGTGCGGGTTGCATTGCGCACAATTTTGTTACGAAAATGGGGGAGTAACATTTTGAATCCCTCTCCCAAGTTTTTCCTCGGCCGCTCAAACGTAGTTTGGTTACATTTGCTTCACGCGTTCTACTTTTGCTGAAACAAACACGCACTGGCATATCATAAATTTTTATTTACTTATCCTCGAATACCCTAGTGTTGTACGGTGTACCACACTAGTAGTATGTTTTTAAATAATTTTCTTCTTTTGTTACATCCTCCTAGACTTTGTTTATGTATCATTGGACGTGTTTGGGGGCACCTTTGGTATAAATGATTTTTAATCGCCCATTATATTTTAACAGAGCTCATTTTGGCTTAGAATATAATTATTTGTCTTACGAGCATTTCAGGTTTTGAACAAAGTGGATAAAAATTCCATAGTGGATAATTATCTAAATTTTAATCTAACTTAATTATGAATCACCAAATCTTTAGAGTAGTGACCGAAACCGCAGTCGGATAGAGAAGTTTGCCCAAGATGTAACCAAAATGATTTCTTCTGCGTGTCAACTGATGGTAACTTACGGTTATGTCCGTACGGTAGTTAATTATGTCAATTGGCCCTCCTTTCTTAATTCATTCGTTCGCTTACGTTGGCTCGGTTATACGAGAAAGGCCTCGGCACTTCCTCATGCGATCTCAATGTCGGTCGAAAATATGTGCCTAGAGAAATAATTGAAATTGGAAGTGTCGCGCTATTTGTGGTTATTAATTTTTTTTTACAATCAATATATTTCAAATTAGTTTTGAGATAAGTATTATATATATTTAAAACTGAGTCTTGAATGTACGTTCACCATCTTATTCGCGACCAATAATGACGTATTTATGGGAGCCAAGAGGCCAAGTCTTAACATCTGTTCCAGCGAACGGGTACTTCTCTGAAGTATGATGTTCAGTTGTTGGTAGTATTTGTCCCGAACTGTCACATTAGTTGTATCAAAAGGAGGCTCCACACATTCGGAATTCGACGAATCCCGCATAGTATGGATGGGTCGCTTGTTATTGTATTTGCCGAGCGACTAACATTCGGTGTCCGCCCTACCCACCACTTATTGATATTTTGGACAATGCCGAATATGTGGAGCCTCATTAAGCGTATCTACTTGGCTTTCCGGCAATTCATTTCGCCCTGAGGAAGGTCTCAGCATGATGACCAAATTGCTTGCGCATGCCTAGGATGTGGCGTCTCCCGGACAGCTAAGAACAGCTTCCGGCCGCGGCAACTTACGCTTTCGTCTTATTGTCAGAATAATATTTCTGTACACTAGTCAGCTGGGAATGAGGTAGAGCAATGTGTCCACTTACTTGGGCGGTAGAACGTGGTGAATCGTCGTTCTTGCAACAGTAGCAGCAGTAGCAAAAAAAAAAAAAAAAAAAAAAAAAAAAAAAAAAAAAAAAAAAAAAAAAAAAAAAAAAAAAAACAGTAAGAGCAAACAACCGTAGATGTCACAGAACCGTACACACCTTACTTAAAGAAGTAACGACGCTCTTCAATTTTCAGTTGTTTCGCTCTGTCAGATTTCATTTTTTTAAAAATAAGTATCGGCTGCAGTGACATCATCAGAATTTGAAGCGTCTGATTGGATCACTGAACCCCCTCTCCCCTGTCAGCCGCTGGCTGTCAAGTAGCCAGAAATGTTATTCGGATAAAAAGCGCACCCGCCAGCGTCGTTTTCGAGCGTGGCTTTCGCTGTGCGCAGGCGCTGGCCGGCGAGTCGGCGCCGCACCATCCCAACTGCAGCGGCGCGTCCGTTTGGCGCCCGCGGAGCGCTGCCCACCTGTTGGCTGCGGGGGGGCTGGCGGCGGCGGCGGCGGCGCGGCGATGTGGCGGCGGGCGAACGCCCGCGCGGCCGCGCCCGCCGCTCCTGCACCAACCGGTCGGTCCCGCCGGCCCCGCCGCCGCGCACGGCCGCGGCTTCTCGCTCGTCCACCGGACCTCGCCAGCACGGTGCGCAAGCGCTGGGCGGCATCCACCTCGGCTCCAAGCTCTTCCAGTTGGCACCCCGTCTAATTTTATCAATTAATATAATTTAGTAAGACAACCATCCAAGGTGACGGAAAAGCTGATAAATTATTTATTATATATATATATATATATATATATATTATATTATATATATATATTATATTATTATTCAAGGGAGCAGATAATTACGCTCGGAAAAACTGTTTTGAAGGATTTGGTTTATGCTCGGTAGCTTATGCGTCAGAGCAGCTGGGCTCAAAACCTGAAGACCCGGGTTTGAATCCCGGTTCGGGGATGACCAATTCTTGAACAAAATTTAAATTTTTATTAATTAATAGTTGGTTTTGCAACAGCGTGCCCACTTTTTGGAAAACCGGGGAAAATCAGGAAATTTCTTTACTCGGGAAAAGTTCAGTGGGAAAACAGGAATGTGTTGAAGAATTGTTAGAGATAGGAAAAATTTTGAGACCAGTTATGTAACTAGTGTTTATTCCTAAACAAAAATAGTCCACCAAAAAATTAATTATCAATTTTATATTTGTTGATTCTTTTAAAATTTGTCTTATCATGGAAATTAGAGAGCTGACAAATAAATATTCAGGGGTGCTTTATTTTTTTTAATAGGGCTGAAATACTCTACTAATCGTCTGGGGGAGAAAAGGCTTGGCTTACCCCGGGAAAATCAGGAAAATTTGTTTTAGGAAATGAGTTTGGCCACCCTGTGCAGGCCATCACTTTTAGACGCTTAATAGAAATTCGTTCACTCATAAAAATTATATTAAAAGAATAATATAGTTATTTAGGCGTTTCAAGGATTGCGAGTCGTAAAGTCAGTAGAGCCGTTAGAATTCGCGACAAGATTGGTGAGTTTGAGTCCCGCCTCGGGCATGCTAGCATTTGTGTTCGTCCTTTTCACCCCACCCCACCCCATCATCACATATCATCTCATCTCACAGTTTCCATACCGTTGAAATGCAATATGCTCCCTAATTACATAGCTTGTTCATGCGCGCCTTAAAAAAATTATTAATTAAAAGTAGTACAGAAATCGAGCCTGGCGTTCTGTTTCACGATGAGACGAAAATAGAAACTGATTTCGTTATGTTTGAATGAGCATTCCACAGACACAGCCCAAAGTGCCAATTCGAATTCAAATAGTAACGTATAATTTGCTACGATTTGGATGGACTTAAGTAGAAATTAAACCGTAAGTGGCATGCGTGTTAAATATTGGCCGCCGCCTGGCCAACTTCCTCTCCGTTCGTTCAATGTGGTATTGCACGCGTGTGGTATCTGTGACAGTTTGATAATCTTTCTATCATATTACGACCCGTGAACTGCTTAGAGCACAGATCATGTGCATCGGTTGGACCGCTTGCGTAGCCAAAGAAGTCACGCTTGACGTTTCCCCCTACCATGTCGAAAGACGCGTTTTTGTGTGCGGTATATCTTTAGTGTAGTAGGGCAACGTCATAAGATCAATGTTTCAAAAACTCGCTCTCATTAAGACGCTGAAGGAATCTGCGTTAGCCGAACATCAAAAGTGAAGATTTAAAGTAATATATTCAACCTAGTTACTAAACTAAAACAATATCACCGTAAACTCGAATTACATAAATAATTTAACATATTAGATAGAATTTTTTTGTAGTTTTATACGGTTCCCATTTGTTCATGCTGATGTGCGTCGCATTGTTTCAAAGACTACACTTAATTCATTTGCCACGTAGGCATATTTTCACCACATTTACTTTAGAAGACTGATTTTCTTTATGCTATTGTTATCTCGAGTACAATGCTTCCACCTGTCGCTTGCATTTCAGCGCGTTTCGACCCGGCTGGCTGCTGAAGACTCTGACGAGGAGTGACACGACAGCCTGGAGCCCGCACCCCGCGCCACGGCGGGCGACCCGTGGCCGCCCGCCCCCCCGCGCCCGCGCCCACGCCCGCCTCGCGCCCTCGCCGTGCGCCGCGCCCGCACCTGCGCCCGCGCAGTCGTGCCTCGCCGCCGTCACCCACGGGCTCCACCGGGGGCACCGGCCCGCGGCGCCGTCGCCCCCAATGGGCGGTGGAGGCAAGTCGCGCTGCAGATGAAGTGGAGATGTTGAGCGGCAAGGAGGGCGGCAGCGCGCGGGCTCTCCGTCGCCCAAATCGCCCAGACGCCGCTGCGACGGACGTGGCCCGACGGCCGCGGGGGCGGGGGCGAGCGGTCGCTCCAAGATTCCCGCGGCAGTCTAGTCCCCCGTGCGCCGTCCGCCATTCCCGGTGCGGGCGGCCGCGCGCGGCGCACGGCGTCGTCGGTGGCCGCGCCCGCGGCGGCGTCGCCCGCCGCCGCCAAAGAGGCCCACCGCCGCTGCCGCCACCAACCGCCCTGCGCCTCGCGCGCCGACGCCACCGCGCCTGGCGCCGCCGCTCGTCCGAGGCAGCCTGCCCTACCGGGCGCCAGCCGCGCGCCCGCCGGCCCGCGCCCTGCCCGCCAGCGCGCGCGCCGCCTCCGTTCGCAGGGCCGCCGTGCGCGCGACGCCACGCCCACGCCCACGCCCAGGTGAGCAGCGCAGGCCCACCCCACGCCTCACAATCCTCTTCCCGAGGGGGGGAGCCTTCAATCCAGACGAGGCCGCAATCTCAAAATCCCAATGCAGAGAAGCCCTCAGGAGAAGCCAAAACCCAGACGAGACGCGCAACAACAGAAGAGACCCACTCCCAAACGAAACCTCAACCCCAGAGGGGATCCCCAACGGTCACCAGGCTCAGGTCACAAACAACTACCAAACGAGGCCTCACAGTTAGACCAACCAAACAACCCCAGACGGACCACAACACCCCTGACGATACCACCACACAGTTCCCAGGACCAGATCCCCATCCCCATCCCCAGACGAGATCCCCCACTCTGAGACGCCCACCAGTCGCCACCCCCAACCAATCCACCGACTACAGAGGATACCCCACAGTCCATTTTTCAATATCTTATTCCTGATTAAGTTTTCTCCCTCCCAAGACTCATTTACTCTTAATTTATTTTATTCGGTAATTCCTGTGAGTTGTTCACGCGGCTTAGTGGCCGTGGGCGAGAACCTCTTGTGTATGGTGGCCGGGCGTGTTGGTAGGTTCGTGCGCACGCGTCTGCCATCGCCCTGCCCACGGACAGCGGGCCACCTCTCCTCAACGAGGGCGAGCGCCTGCGCGTGGTGCTGGAGGTGGACGCCGAGTTGGCTGCCGTTGCTGCCGCGGCGACCGCAAGGGCCTGGTGCCACGCCGCTTCGGCCGTGAACGGCGCTGACCGCCTAAACGGTCGTCCTCCCCGACCCCCCTTTCCCCTCCCTCATCCTCCTCCCCCTCCCCTCACCCTCACCCCGCACCACGCCCGCCCCCACCCCGCTAGCTTTCTTCCGCCCTGCCTCGGCTATCGCCCGTGCCACGAGGAACAGTCGGATGCATTTCTCTGGAAAAATACTCTCGGTCTTTTCGGGTACTTACTTGAAGATGCAAATGAATCGATTATGAATCTCGATGTAAGATTGGTACTAGGTGTTTGGCTGAAGGTAGTGCTTCAAATATGAGAGAACGAAGCGTTGAAATATATTTCTTTTTAGATATTCTCCAACATATTTTCTGATTATTTAAATTACCTTCTTTTTCGAAGAGGGTACAGACTGAGATGAGGTTATTTATTTAGCAATGTCCTGTAGACATTGCTTTCCTGATTTTTCCACTAATAATAACAGTGCGTAGGTGCTGTGGTGTCCATGAAAAGTGCCACAGTTCTGTGATTGAAGAATATGGTCTATATTTTTATGAGAGGGGATTTTTCTGATTAGTAGTTAAGATGAGATAAAATTAACATATCGGGTACTGGAACTTTAGAGAGAGAACTAGAATAAATTGTAGACTTAGAAATGAAACATTGAAATTTAAAGTTACTTTGCTTTTGTATTTGCACACAGTGTCTTCCAAGTCTGAGTTAATACTTTTCATGTATTAGTTCATATTCAGTGTTTATTTACAAAGCAAAAGTTTATTCCGTAAAATTCATTTTGTAAGATTCAAGTAATTATCATATCATTAAGTATTATTGAAGTCTAGAAGTTAAAGGCAATACTTTTACTTCTATGGTGTCCTACTTATCTCTAGTTTTGCATTTAATGCAAGCAACTGCCTAGCAGTTCTTCATGTAAGATAAGCGTTTTTTCGAAGGTGAAGTCCTGTTAGTGAGCGGGTGCAGTGAGATTGAGCCTGTAAATTTCTGCGGTGAAATGCATCTGTTTGTGCAGCTGGTCCCCTTGCCATGTGCGATGGCTGTCACTGCCCTTCGCCCTGCGCCCTCGTGCCCTGCCCGAGACGCTCCAGAGGCTGTAGCTGCACCTCCCTACCCCACCCCCGCGCACGAGCGCGGAGCCGGGTATACCCGCGATACCCCTGGCCCTGACCTGCTCCCTCACACACACCCCACCCCTGCCCAGAGTTTCTCAAACTGTTGTGAATGACTGGAGCATTCCATGAGAGCAGTAGGAAGTAAATTTAGAAAATAACTTGCATGTGCTAAGACTCACGAACTTTGAACCTACACACTGTGTAGAATGTTTTTGATTTTTCATTGATGACAGATGAAAGAAATGGGTATGACGGCAGTATTATTTGACTTGTGAGTTAATAAGAATGTGAAATGTGGCATGTCTCTCAAATAGTATTTTATATGTTTTTTCATGTTCATTTGGTATTCAGTGTGTTAATATTGACATAGCAATTATGACCATTGACTGCATATACTATTAAATGTAACTTTAGAGGAAGAAATTTCTAAAAAATTTATTGATGTGCAATATTTTGTGGTGTTTGATTTTTGAGATTACTTCAAATATTACATAATCGAATTTTTAAGAACCTATTAATTAAGTTTTAAAATCTTCAAATTTATTGAGATATATTTTATTAATATAGACTCATTGAAATTGGGGTAGCTCTCTTGTATGTTATATACTGCACATGCCCTATGCTCGTAATTGTAATGTAAATTAACATTTGGGACAACAACAGTTATATGTCCTTTTCTTTCTTTTTTTCTGACGTGTGAAAGATCTGTTTCAATTTTGTGAAAATGAAAAGTTTGAGAATCACTGTGGTGTCCTTTTTCCCATTAATACCTTTTCCCTTACTCTTCCCTGGCACCAACATCATGAATCATAAAAACCAAAGATGTAATCATACATTACACGAGAATGTTAAGAAAAGTGCCCATTGTCCTAACTGTTGCATAACTTACCTCGAATTAGGTATTAGTGCTTAATTCTACTCGAAGACATATGAAAAATATGTATACATTAAATAAAATCATCTATACTAGTACTGATCTTTACTGCTCGTAATGCAGTTGTATTACATAAGACATGTTAATAATGTGTAATGAAAACTACTTTGAACATTACTACCATTCTCGAAAATGTTCCATTTAGATTTGCTGGATTAAATATATTTATAGAACATGACAGCATCTAATGCTTTCTTCTGAGAGGAATGGTCATGATTGCTACACCCACATTTTAGTAGTAACTGAATGTCCAGCGTATCTACAGCCATCCGTATCAGTTGGTGCCAGACACCTTGGTCATCCTTCCAACCCTGGCTGCGTTGATGTGTCTTTCCTTAGTCTTGTGGACTGTGTCAAGTATTATCTGCTAGAGAAGAGTCTGCCAGATGGCGTTAAACCAAAGACAGTGTTGACCTACTCTTTGTGCTTGTTAGTTTCATGTAGTAGAGTCATGAGCTCCTTCGGCTCATGTTGCTTCACGTGCAGCTTTCATCTCGTCTGTGCCACAATTTATATATTTGCCCTTTTGGTTTATGTTTAGTCATTTTTGTATGATTGGTGTATATAAATTATTTTGTGATTATGTAAATAAATAACCAGGAGTCTGATCAGAATTATGTGGATGGGAAACCTGAAATACAGTGTATATAATGTAAGCAGCCATTGTGCCATTCTAGCAACATCAGATGTTTCACATAAAGCTATCTCAGTAAAGAAATAAGTGTTTTATTTAGTATTTTCCTCCTCATATTAATTCCTTATTCTTTCTGTTTCAATACCTTAACTTGCAGAGGTATTTCTTTTCTTTCTAAAGTAATAGATGCAAGCGAGAGGAACATCTTAACTGAAAAATGCACTTAATACTCTCTTGTAATGAACATCACATTAAATATTATCCACATCGCACAATATGTTAATGAATTCTGAAATGTTCTGGAGGATTTTTGAAGTAATTAGGTAATTTTGGGAAGGAATGAAGGATCTGGGTGTAAAAATTGATTGCACAAACCAAATAAACCTTTGAAATAAAAATAAGAGAACATTTTGATTAAAAGGTTTTAAGAGTTTTAAATGAAAATAACTGTGGACCATTAGAACTAATTTAGTATGCAAGAATAAATATTATGGAGGTGACTTTGATGTCGATGTATTCAACATCAATATTTTGTGCTTGATGTTTTTTTAAAAAATGTTTTGTTTGTGAATGAAAAATTTCCTCAATCAGAATTTTGTAAAAGTTAATATATGACATAATAACTGAATAACTGACAGTGTCAATGCCAGTTTGTGTTCAAATCAGAAGAAAGAATGCTGTTTGTATTTTCTACATGAAGTGTTTGTTGTTCTATTTTTTTCAACTTAATTTTCAGTTAATCCTTAATTATAAATTAATAAATTCTTCTTTCAATTTAAATTTTGTTGCATCCAAATTAAACTACTTTTAAAACATTGATGAGGTTTTATATATTTTTTATAAATTATAACATCCAAGCCACAATAATCAATGTGGTTGTAAAATTGCTTTGAAAGTTGGAACATAGTATCTCTAAATTTCAAGAAATACACAGATGCATGCTGAAGCATGCAAGTTGTAGAACGCACCAAGGATGCACATTGATCATTAGATAATTTTTGAGAAATCTCTATAGAAAAGTTTTATATATTTCTTACACAGAAAATTGAAATCCCCCAAAACATTGTTTCATTTTATTCAGTATTAATTTGTGAATACTAACAAAGGGAACATTGCAATCACTATTCACAGTGAACACAAAGTTGAACATGTTTCTGAAATTCATGAACATGTTTCATGATTTCAATGTTTTATATTTAGCAAGATCCTTACAAGTATGTTATAGGAAACTAAGGCTAAGAAATCAGAGTGCTCACCTTTATGTAAAATCATAAAATACATAAAATTGATGGATAAATGGTAAATCAAATGGCAGTCCCAAAAAACCTAGGAGACACAAAATAAGGAAATGAAAAGATTAAAATTAGAAGGCATTAATGGCCTAAATCTTGGAAATTGAAAATCTTTACTTTTACATGTTAGACTAGGGATTCCCAATTTTTTCATCAACATCTTTTGAAAGAATGATTTGCTTTATCGATGCCTTTCAATATTTTTATATTATATGCAACAAACAGCTTATAGATATCACAAATAATTATACATAAATGTCTTCTAGATATCAAACCAGCTAGACAAAGAATGTCAACATATGATTGAAGAAAATGATATCACATTACAGTTTTAATATATTTGTACTAGTTTCAGTTTTAATTTTACAAATATAAACAAGATATCAGAAACAAAATCACACATATCAATTATAAAATGGTTAAATTTTAATTTGTGGGAAGAATGCGATACTCCAACACAGAAACAATTTTGCCTTTTATTATAGAAACTTTATACAAAATAGAATAAATTATCAATTTCAGTTAATGTTTTAACATCAATAAAATCTTGATCTGAATTATACCCATCATTGTTTACTGCATATTCCATTAACGAACCCTTCATCATTACCTTAAGAATTTCCTTGACCTCCAAGGAAGCAATTTCGTCCCCATTTAGAACTCTTGTCTAAGACAAAGGTCAAATATAAACATCACAACATACATTGTATTAATACCTCTTGACAAACTAAAAAGAGCAACGAAAGTACAATATAAGGTGAAACACTATTTTATTCCAAATATTTTAAGGTAATAATATCATACGTATCACAAAAATTTACTTGTAATTGTGTCTGAATATTTTCCGAAATTTGGAACGTAATGGGGAGGGGTGTTTTGTATTTGATGTCACGACGCTCCGCTGCCTTTGTCGTCTATCTCGGAAAATATTCGACTGATTGGAGTTGATTTTGCACCTATGAAATTCTCTTAAAGTGTACTACTTGTATACAAAATATCCGATAGCAGTGCTTAATTTAATATTTTTCATAATTTGGCACGTAATGGGGGGGGGGGGTGTTTAGTAATCGATGACACGAGGCTCTGCTTTCTTTATTGTCTAACTCGGAAACTATTCGTCTGATTAGAAATTAGTTTGCACCTATGAATTTCTCTTAATGTGTTCTATTATATACAGAATATACGATGGTGGTGCCAAAATTAATATATTTCGATATTTGGCACGTAATGGGGGGGGGTATTTTGTATTTGATGACTCGAGGCTCTGGTTTGTTTTTCGTCTATCTCGGAAATTATTCATCTGATTCGAGTTTAGTTTGCACCTATGTTTTTCTTATAAAGTGTTCTACTTGTAAACGCAGTATCAGCTGTCAGCGCCGAAATTAATATTTTTCGAAATTTGGCACGTAAGGGGGGTGCTTTGTACTTATGATTTTGAGGCTCCACTTTGTCGTCTATCTCAGAAACTATGCGTTTAGTTTGACCCAAGAATATCTTTTAAAGTGTTCTACTTGTATACGCAGTATCAGCTGTCAGCGCCGAAATTAATATTTTTCGATAATTGGCACGTAAGGGGGGGTGCTTTGTACTTGATCTTTTTGAGGCTCCACTTTGTTTGCCGTTTATCTAGGAAACTATGCGTCTGATTGGAGTTTAGTTTGCACCTATGAATATCTTTTAAAGTGTGCTACTAGTATATGCAGTATCAGCAGTCAGCGCCGAAATTAATATTTTTCGAAATTTGGCACGTAAGATGGGGGGTGCTTTGTACTTGATGATTTTGAGACTCTATTTTTTCGTCTATCTCGGAAAGTATGCGTCTGATTGGAGTTTAGTTTGCACCTATGAATTTCTCTTAAAGTGTTCTACTTGTATACAGAATATACGATGGCAGTGCCTAAATTTTTTTTTTTTTCGAAATTTGGCACGTAATGGGGGAGTGTTTTGTATTTGATGATTTGACGTTTCGCTCTCTTGGTCGTCTATCTCGGAAACTTATCGTCTGATTAGAGTTTAGTTTGCACCTATGAATTTTTATTCAAATGTCTAATTTGTATACAGTATATCAGATGGCAGTTCCTTATTTAGTATTTTTTGAAATATGGCACGTAATGGGGGGGTGATTTGTACTTTGTTCCATGTTCACGGCTCTAATAGTTTGTGGGCGATGTATCATGGTGTTGAAAGTAAGAATAGTTGATATTTTGTTTTGTCTACATAATTTATGTCTACCATCTTTGAGCCTACCCAAAGCACAACATCATGCTGAGTGATGTAGTCATAATCATTGGGTTTTTATTTCATAATTTACTTAATGCCGTGATTAATAGTAGTGATATTATCTAGAAGGTGTCATTGAATGTTTATAAAATAATATTAAAAGATTCAGATAATTACGTCTAAAAATTCGATTAATCCTAAAATATTGTGATTAACTTAATATATATGTATTTAATTTGAATAGTATTTTTTCCAAGCAATTGAGAAAAATGATGATGTTTTAATTGAGATTTCTTTGTAATGATCATATTTCCTAACAAAGATCAGAGAACAAATTTACCAAGTAGGTGCAATGAATAAAACAAAATAAGATTTCTCTAAAATATTAGTTACAAATTAAACTAAATATTTAGGTAAATAACATCAAACCGTGACCATGTGTAACAAAAGTTTCATCTTAATGACTTTCTAAATAAAAGTGCATTATTTTGAAGTGTTGCCTATGTACTTTTATGAGTATATTAGAGTATACTACCTTTATTTATTATACATATTATTTTTGCCGTGCTAAAACGATAGACTTTCATTGTAAAAATGTGGTACTCTCCAACAATTTATTTACATAATATTCGAGGTTGTATTATCTGTTTGTGAAAATATCTTCTGAAATACATTTTTTGAAATTTTCTTAATTTTTCGGTTTTCTAATATTAGAACGGAAATAATACGAAATAAGTTATTTTTCCGGCGCACGATTGCAATACTTTCTCTTTTTATGTTAGTGCGAAAAAGTAAAAATGAACTAGGCTAGTATCTGCTGGTCACACAACATTGTGCATTAACAATGTCGTCTGTTTTCACCTCCGGAAGTTCACCTCGTTTTTACTACAAAAGAGTTTTTGTATTTGTGTATCTTATACTCTGCCTGTATAACAAGAATTGAACTGAAATTGAAGACTGAAAGTGCTGAACGTACGAACTCGCGATTCGGCAAATGGTTAATCTGAAGTGCCATTTTTTGAATTCGAATACTATTGTTTGTGCGTATGTGTCATACAACGTTTGGACGCGTGGTCGTGAAGGTGCACCATCCCTAGTAATGACACATTTTTAGTGATCTCTTCAGTAAATGTGGATAATTGCTCGCTAGACTGTCAATCCACAGATATTAAACAGAGACAGCGCACCATCGTTGTTTGTGTATATTCGTACCTTCACCACCTCGAGGCATAAAATGTGAACTAATGTTCTGCAATAATAATGAATCTTAGCAATTTCGATAGTTAATTTATTATCTTAAGTGGAGATGTGATGTAGTAAATGTGATAAGGGAAGATCCGGGCCTTGGAGATGCTCCCTGCACACGACTATCCCCTTTAAATTGAATTGTTAGCAAGTTGGGATTTAGATAATAGGGCAAGGCAATTAGATAATAAGGCAAGGAGCATAGTCTCGAGCCAAGGCCCTCACGAGTGCAGCATGTTGGTTCTGTCGCATGATTAAACACTGTGGTTATTATGGTAAAATGTTAACACTTTGAATTTTAAAAAGTTGCATTTTGAAAACAAGGCTATAGCGTATTATAGCAATGTAAAAGTTAAGAAATAGCATTTTGTAGCATTCGTTGAGAAAGTTATTATTAAGAGAGGGCTATTTGAGATAAAATTTTTTTGAAGCTTGTTAGATATTCCCATTAAAATCAGGAAAGAAGGGAAACTAATTTAATATTTCACCAATTGTGAACTTCAACAAATATAAAAGCGTAAGAAACGTAAAAAGGTAAGAAGTAACGTGTTGGTGCGTTGTAACGTACACGGAGTACGTTGGCGTTGGGTCTTCATATTTCCGAGACCTTCTCGGTACAGCGAACTGCGGAATCTGAGACCCCGTCAGTTCCTGATCCAGATCGGAGGCTCAGGATTTCAGGATCAACTTTTTAAATTGTTCTTTTTATTATTTTATTTTGTTTTGACAGTTGTATCATAATTATAAAATAATAAATGCAGTCACTCTTAAATTAAATGTTTTCACACATCATTGCGTTGTTCTCGATACTGTGCACCCAGAAGAAACATTAAAATGTAATTATATCGCTGACTCACGACCATTTCGGACATTGCATGTAGTTTTGCATTTTACGATTGATTTCGCATTATACCGCAAATTGAAAACCTTCAGAAATATCCTGTACCAACCGTCGAACATACGATTACTATTTTTTTCAGCGTTTGGTAACATTCCGTATTTTTAGCAATTGCTCAAATCTATCATCTCTAACAATTGTATTAACATCAAATAGTTCCAAATTTACTTAGGTACACTTCCACTGATCATTCTAACTTATGAATTAAAAAATATAAAAAGATAATAAAATAAATCAATTATAGAAAAAGCACATAGCGAAATTAATATAAAAATAACCATAAAAATAAATAAATTAATCTTGATAAATTGAAATTCTTGTTAAGCGATAGATCTCGAGGGAATGTATACCTTCCTCAACCATCCTCTAAAGCGTTAACATCTTGATCACCTGCGTGAAATTTTTAAATGAGTTTTGCTTACACTACGAATTGTAATTAGTCACATGTCAAGAAAATGGTACGTTCGCAATGGATTTATAAATTTAAAAGATTAATAAAATGAAACCATTAACAACAGTAACAACATCAGCAACAGTAAGTTTGGGGTTTATTTCACGAATTTATTTCGTTTGCCTGGAAAGTATAGAACAGAGAATCTTCATTCAAAACTTTTAAAATCTTCACTTACAAAGTTCGAAGTTCCTTCTTCATTACTTCATTAGTCGTTTGACTTGCTCATTAAGTTGTAGTAAGAATAAGATAATTTCATAGTCTGTAAAATACAAAAAAAATAACAATGAACTTATATTCTAATTTTAAAGTAATCATACACTGCCTGGGGTGCACTGCTACCGAAATCCAACATTTGAGTCTCGGTACTAAATTTTGGAAGTTTGCGGTCTGCTTTGATACTGACGAAAGTAATTTTAATCCCACTTAAGTAATACTGATGTTAACAAATAGATGTTAACAATATCTAATGCGTGATAAGGACGTGTCTTCACTTCGGGTAGACTTTTTGAGCAAATTAAATCCGCTTTTCAACTCAGCTTGCTAACTTAATTCAACCTGTATTTTAAAATGTATTCAAAAATGCAAGAAATTCCAAATCGAACTATGGTTGACAACGGGGATGCGTTGTTACAATGACAGAGAATGGAATATCTCCTGTAGCATTTGTTGAGAACTTATTACAGAAACTGCAATACATTAAACAATTAAAATCTTAGAGCATAGAAAAGTCCTGATCAAGATCAAATAAGCAACGAGATGTTGAAGTATGGAGGGAGAGGGCTTTGACGGCTGCTTCATGGCCACTGCTGGCAATAGAACTGAAAGTTACGACAATGCACTTATTTTGCCCGTGCGTTCGTTTACAATTAGCTCATTTGTAGATGGATTCATCACTATTTCTTGCAATGTCATCGCCCTGCACGATGTTCAATTGTTTCCTTACCGAAGAAGGCGGTCCCTTCTTGGAGCAACGTTAGATAAAAGCCATAGTACCAAGAGTGCACCCCCACCCCCCCACCGCCAGCGCTCACCTCGCCGAAGGTGTGGAGGGCGACGTCTGCGATGCGCAGCGCGGTGATGCGCGTGGGCTTCTGCGCGCGCAGCAGCACCATGCGCAGGTCCTTGCGCACGTCCAGCGGCGCGGCGCCGCCCTCCCAGCCGCACGCCCACGCCGCCGCCGCCACCGCGGCCCCCTGCACGCGCGCGCACACGGCTTCTTATTACTTGTACGAGACTGGAGAGTACTAGACTGGAGGGTCCCGCTTTTTCGCGCAAAGCACACGTAAGCTTTTACGGCTCGATTCCATAAAATCGTGGCTATCTGGGGGAGACGCCGCGTCTTTGGCTGAGGCCGACGATTCCCCTGACATGTCGCAGTCTGCCTCATGGTCACTGGTCTGAGGAAGCCTGCGACATGTCAGGCGAAGCGTCAGCCTCTCAGCCAACGACGCGGCGTCTCCCGGATAGCCGAGAACTTTTCGCACAACGTCAAATACCCACGACGTTTCAAAATTTTGAAAACGTGCTAGGGGTTTCGTGTGAAGTGGCCCTGAAGAAGACTCACCTGCTCGCGCACGCCCTCACCCACGTAGCAGTAGGCGAACAGCTGCACCACGAACGGCACCAGCAGCGCGCCCTCGCGGATCATGGCGTGCAGCGACGTGCCGCCCTGAGCACACGTAACGAAGTGGTCACAAAGTCCCCACCCGATGCGCATGTGCAGACAGAAGTATTCAAAAAAGGCCCGGTTATTGTGCACGCGAGCAAATATAACGTCTACTACTCGTACACACGTGTAGGCCAGTGTTACGCGATTTTTCTCCAGACGGGCGTAAGTCCGTCTGAATACAGTATATAATATATAGACAGTGTCTCGAGTTGGTTTATTGTATAGGTTGCGCGTCCTCACTAGTTTTTGAAAAGTAATATATTTGCCATGGTGGGCAGCATTGTTATGCGTGGAATGAATGTACGTTTGATTCTAATTTGTAATAAAAGGTCACGATAACGAAAACGTTTGTTAACGCGCGAGGTGCTTGCAGAGAGACCTAGATTTGAGAGTAGGGCATTAAAGAAATTGAGGTTCGAAGACGCAATGGATTTTCGGAATTTCATCCTACCGAAACCTACCAATTTCGAGATTTACATCAGATGCAAGAGAGTTATAAAGGCAAAAATTAGTGCACGGCTGAAGGTCTCAAATGCATGTGCATGGCGTCTCGTCGAAGGAACGCCATGTGTGTTTCTCCATTCATCACGAGACACCATATGTCTGCAAACTTTGGTCTAGTAACGGACTAGGAAACTGCTATTGATTTATAGACTTGCCTATTGACAAATCACTGGACAAGTCTCAGAGACCAAAATCGTGCAACAATCTACATGAGCGTTCGAGCCTTAAAGTTACAAAATGTTGGCTTCGCGCACAAGTGCAAACATAGGTGTTCAGAAATGTCACTTCTCCACGTACGCGGAAGAAATACCCCTGAAAACAGAGCAAAAGTAAGAAAGTCCCGTTTGCTCTCTTGCGCCAACAAGTGTTTATAAAGGCAAGTGCACAGTAATACCAGTCCCTATGCACACGTGCAAGCAGAAGGCACGCACGTACAAACACGATATTGTAGAAAGTCTCCTCCCCTCCTCATACAATGCAAACCAGAGTTATAACGTCATTCTGAACTCTAGCTTATGAAACGCTAACTTTCCCCACGAAAAAAAACATTAGTTCGGTCTGTTTAGTAATTACTTTTTATTTAACTCTGTGTTGTTCTTTAAATGTCGACCGTGAATTTTCAAATGAAAAAAAAAAGAATGCAATAAAAAGAACGTGTTTTAGATAATGTACATGTTTTGATGAGAAAAACAAAATTGTAAATGCAAAACGATCCTCATTTTGGATCATAACTCTTTCTCTCGGGTGCTTCACATTTACTATTCATCGACGTTTCCTGCAGTCAGTTGTACGTGTTGCAATTCATGACCACATATTGCGTTGAAGATGAGAAAGATTAGATATAAGTAAGGGCCCACATAATGATGGATCATAGCAGAGCCGTAGCTACAATTGGTGTTTTCCGAGGACCTACTGACGGTTTCATTTCAATGAAGTATACAAAAAACTGGTAAATAATTATCTGTACTTTTATTACATATAAGAATATATTTGCACGTAGGGCCTATTTGTGTTTTAAATGTCTAAAATTCCCTGTTTGAAGTAATAATTAAAGTATAGTTAAAACAGTAGTTAAACTAGAATAAAATAGAATTTGACGAAGGAGAAATATTTTTCAGTGTAGAGGTTTTAGGGCAAAAAACATACAAAAAACATACATTTCTATATGATACTTTGATTGTATATTTTTTATTATTCTTTGTCGTATGGAATTATTTGCGGGGAGACTGCCCTTGGTTGCCCTGAAGTTGTCCCGCACCTTTGATTTTCGACCAAGGCTTTCTTGGAAGCCTTCTCCCGACAGGGTCTTGGGGCCTTCATCGAGCAGGCACACCTCTCGGGGGATCCCCTAATTGCACCTGGGGTTTAGCTCTCACTTTTTCCGCCAGATGTCAGCCTCAGTTAACAATATCCGAACTGTCTAGTTAGGAGAAAGTGACATCTCGTCAGAGCGAATGTGGTCGGACTGAATTAATTTTGCCGTGCATACCGCCAGGGTTCTTGTATATGTCACAAGTGTAACATATCCACATGGCTACTGTGGATTTTTCTGCCCTTCGAAAATCCGAGCACTTTGGCCGGGATTGAACTCGCGCACAGGCGGTTCAGATAATCTTGCTTGTACAGACGTATAATCGAATATGACTACCAAACGTTGATATGACCAACGATTATTAGAGTAATAACATTTATAATAAAAATATTTAATTAAAGAAAATAACGGCTTTTCTTCTTAAAAATAATTTCAGATAATTAGAGGGCATTAAATGAGCGTATTACTTCATTGTACAAAATTAATTTTGTAAATTTTTTAATATAACCTTGGGATTTTACAAATTCAAATGAAAAAATCTCAAATGCTGTCACCTTGGTGAGCTGGTTGGCCATGGCACAGAACATGATGGAGCAGCACACGAACTGCGTGGCCAGAGGCAGCTGCAGCAGCGCGTCCACCTCGTCCACCAGCCTGCACACGCACACACACCTGCTCGTAAGTTTTCACGAGATAATCAGCAGCAAACGAGCTAATTTTTCAACGTTCAATTGAACATGCGTTTCACATTTCGCTGGCGCACAAGCTTAGATGACTCAGGGCATCAATTGATGTCGCTGCAGTGCCTCTTCCGACGATGGCAGGATTCGGAAATTTGTTTACTTGTTTAGAGCTTGCAAATTTTCAAAGGAGGCGTTGAACTCGTCCTTTCATCTCTGCCATTAAGACGATATCAACTTTTTTTATCTGGCAATGTTAAAATCCTTCTGTTTCATTATAAATGCAGGTATTTGATTTCCGTCTTCGATTATTTCATCCATTACTAAGTTTAACATTACAGAAGAGGGCTCACAGAGACTAGATACAGAGAGAGCACCCTTACCATATCCTTTCACTCAGTAGCCCATTCAGGCAGGAGTTAAGAAGAAATTAAAATTGACAATTAAAGACTTTATGGAAAGTTTCAAGTACATTATCATTGGTTTTTCACAGATTGTTGGTTCCTAATTCACAGCCCAATACCGTCCAGTTCAACTGGATATAAACTGGTAGAATCGGTGGCGCAAAAGGAATGAGCTCCTCTCTTTATAAAGGAACTCTAGCTACATCTCTATCTACCTACGACGTCTGGGGACTGACCTGAGCGCCTCCTGGTGGTGGCGGACGCAGGCGCGCAGGCGCTCCCTGGCTCTGGGCCAGGCGGCGTGGCCGAGAGCGCGCATCGACGCCGCCACCGCGCGCAGCTGCAGCGCCGCGTTGGCCATCAGCGCCACCATGGTGCAGCCCGACACCGGCATCATCACGATGTACACGATCTGGATGGACAGCTGCACGGGCACACAAGCAACCGAAATCGGACTTCAAACGCGCCGAAATGAAGTAGTTCAAAATATGAAGATTTGTTGGTTATTTTTGAACCATTGCAAACTAGTGGTGCCACTGGAGTGAACAATTGAAAAACAAAAGAATACAGACAAATGGCGTTTATGTAATCTGATACAGTGTATTTATCATTATCCGTAAAATAAAGAAATTTGGAAATATTTTTGAGAAAATGTTTAATCCATTCCGGAAATGCGCAATTTTGAGCTCAGTTTCACAGAAAAGTTTTGAGTTTGAGCAGAAACTTTAAAAGGTACCATTTAAAGAACTTGTACTCACAAATGCAATAACATATACCTAGCGCCAATAAGGTAAGTAGTAACGACGTGAGAGTGAGGGGTGCTCAACACCATATACTTTCTCGCATTATTTGCAAATTTGGAAAAAATTGACCAAAAATCAATTTTGAGTGATTTTGAGAAAATTATTTTTATAAATATTGCAAAAAATGTAAGCACAAATTACGCAAAAATACTAGTTTTTCAAATAATACAACACTACCTTTTTTAAACAACTTATTTTTAAACCTGTTTGTTTAGTGCAAAAATATATAACTTTAATTTTTAAATGTTAAATATCTGCAATTTTCGAAAACACAGTTTGTCCAAAATTATACAATATTTGCACCGATATTTTTAATTGGAGTTTTTTTTACCGAGTTCCTTTATATATCAAAGGGAATCACTGACATATGTTACACTACCGAAGGATGCATAGTTTTCTTCCAATTTCTGAGCGTGTTGAAAATAATATAGAAATTTTCCCGTGTTTCTTGATATTTAAGGCAACTACGGACATTTGTTGCTGGAGTCTGCAAAGTTTTCTTTCAATTTCTGGGCGCGTTGGAAATATGCCACATTCATTTTTTTGATGATTCATCGATACATAAGGTAACCACGGACATCTGACACAAGGCCGGGGGCACAGTTACACTTTCTGCGCGTGTTGAAAATTAGTAATATAGATTTTTCATTTTTTTCTTCCTTGGTATATAAGCAAACCACACAGACACCTGCCTCATGGCAGGAGTCTTCACAGCTTTTTTTTCAATTTCAGCGCGTGTCAGAAATTAATAATATTGATAAGCTGGAGGCTGCAAAGTTACAATTTCTGTGAGTATGGGTAATTAGTAATACAGAATTTTGTATTATTTAGCCACAGTTTCTTGATATATCTAAGGCAACTACAGACACCTTTCACATGACTGGATTTTGCAAAGTTTTCTTTCAATTACTGCGCGTGTCGAAAAAAAATAATATTGATTTTTTCCCCCGAGTTTTTTCATATCTCAGACAACCCTGACACCTGCCCTAGAGGCTGCGTCGAGAGCTGGCGAGCGCTACCTGCCAGGCGAGGGTGAGGGCGTAGCCGAGCGGGCGCGAGCGGTTGAGGGGCGTCCACAGCGGCAGCGGCAGCGACGGCTCCGGCGGCGACGCGCTCAGCTGCGTTGCCAGCGCCAGCGACGTCATGCCCACGCACGACAGCGAGTACCTGCGCCGCGCCGCACCGCGCGCTCGCCCATTAAGGCCCATTCACAATGCAAACGTAAACACAAGCATAGCGCATACACATAAACATTCACAATGCCTAACATAAACATCAGCAAAATATGAGTTCCCATTGACTGTGAAATATTCTGGTTGGATCTGAGAATCGATTTCAAGATATCGACTTTGTCTATTTCCCATATGGCGTTAGTTCTCCTATCGACTTCGATTCTCGATTTTGAGTTACCGTTCTGTCATTTGTTCATTTCTTATGTCTTCCGTAAGCATAAGTACAGAAGCTTGAAGCTTGCAAACTTTTAAGTTAACGTCTTACGTGTTATGCTTCTGCGAACGCATTGTGAATGAGTTCGCTTATGAACGAAGCCCTAACTTTTATGATGACGCCATGCCATATATATATATATATATAGCCCCGCCGACGCCGCGCCGACAGACTCCATAGGCCTGCTTGGAGAAGGCAGTCACGGACTGTGGCGTTCAGGTGAATTGATGTAAGTATGCTTGGAAGTTTAAACGAAAGTTGGGTCCAGTTAGTGACTTAAGAAATATCTATATCCGAGAATATCACCGCCACCTCCCGCAATAAAACACTTCCTTATAGAAGAAGTGAACTCGGCGGTTGACGCGCCCGGAGTTCTTATTCAACCGAGAGCTGCCAGCAGTACGCACGCGACGAGGAAGGCGATGTGGACGGTGCGCATCGTGGCCTCGAGCGCGCGCGTCTGGGCGGGCGGCGCCGGGCCGCGCGCGAAGGCCGCTCGTAGGCGCTCCAGGCGCTGGGCGCGAGCGGCGAACACCAGGAAGGGCACGTTGTTGGTGAGGCCCGCCAGCCCCATGCCCAGCGCCTCGGTGGCGGCGGCGCGCCCACCCGTACCGCTCACGTACGCCCACGCCAGCTGCTGCGAGCCCAGCACGGCGCACACGCCGGCCAGGCGCAGCCGCGCCCACGCGCCCCCGGCCACGGGCCCCGCCCCCGCGCCCAGCACGCGCAGCATCCGCGCGCAGAAGGCCAGCGGCTCGGGCCCCGCCCCCGCCCCCGCCGCGCCGACAGACTCCATAGGCCTCCTTGGAGAAACGAGCTCTGGCGTTCAGGTGAATCGGTGTAAGTATGCTTGGAACACTGTCAAAGAGATCCTTTTGAATATTGAGAGAGTGATCGACTGTTGGTTGAAAGGGGATGACGAAAAGAAGAATTTTGGGTGTTGCAAAATTACTCTGATAAAGGTTTAAAGAAATACTTTGAATTGAAAGTTTGAACGAAAGTTGCGTCCAGTTAGTGATTTAAGAAATACTTGATCTATATACGAAATCTATCTCCGCGTTCAGATGAAACAGGAAGTATGCTTTGAACACGGCCAATGAGGTCCCATGTAGGGTGATCAGGGTGATCGGCTGTTGGTTGAAGTGGGTTAGCGAAAAGAAGAATTTTGCGTGTTGGCAAATTACTCTTATTAAAGTTTAAAGAAATACTGTGAATTGAAAGTTTGAAGACAGTACAGTTACTGATTTATGAAATACTTGATCTATGCCCGAATCCGGTAGATTGCGAAGATGTAGAATGGAACGTTTCTAGCTAGGTGCACTCTAATTTTCATACGTCAGAGATAGACCAAGTTTGACCACCTCGACGGATTGATGAATACCGAAAATATACGATATCTTCACAAAAGTTAAGTATATTGCTAGTTAAGAAACTAAATAGGGGGAATCAATAGTTAGGTAGATAAATACTTTTCGACTCAATTTTAAAAACCATGTTCTGATTCAGGTATATGTTGCGGCTTAAGCTATGAAAGTAGTTTTAATGAGTTAACGAATTCTTCATTGCAAGTATCTGAACGAATTGCCTTGAAGAAATATAACACAGGTTGTAAACAGTGCAAAGCTAAATGTATATTTGTGTATTATTAATTAATATAATTTCGAAGAAATTATGAATAAACCTACTAAAAAGTTATAGAATATTTCTCAAACAATGTCAAGAGAATTGTAGAATAAAATCCGATGTTGTGTTGCTACTGAATGTATCCAAGTGTTTGGGTTGTTATTTATAATGAGAACAATACTTTTGTTGCTTGATCCTGTGACGGTATATTTGTAAAAATGAAGTGTCAAACGAGAAAATGTTTCAGCCCCGCGAAAATGCAAGAAACAAAAATAGAGTGAAAGATTGGAAACGAAGTTTAAGTTGTCGATACGGTTGCACACAATGACTGAAAGGAATATGTTTGTGGTATATATTCGAATAAACGAACTTTAGTTATTGATGTTATTGAAACGCTTATGTTTATATAAAGTTTTTGATAACCGTCATTACAAAAATCTTAAATAATTTCTAGAGATAAAATGCGAGACAATTTAGATGATATTAAAAAGTTTGGTTTAAGTTTTCTTGCGACATTAAATGGACTTTTAAAGCAAACAAAAAATCGTATTAATAATAACAAATGATTCGTACACAGAAAGAAGAATTGGGAAAAAATGTAAACATTGTGCACGTATGTAATCATCTTAGCGGTCGCCCTTTTAATTGTGATCGACTTTTAAACTTTTTGTAAATTTCCATATGCTACGAAACTAATCATTTGTTTAATTTATTATAGAAAGTTATTCAATATCAGGAGAATACGTATTGTTTTAATTTATTTATCACTTCACTGTACAGTATTTGTCCTTCTTTGAGTGAACATCAAAGAGGTTCACGTTTGGAAAAGATCATTAGCAAGATGTTTGATATAAAAAATTACTTTGTGTGAAACATTGATATTCCTTAAGGGGTCTGAGTAGTGGAAATATATCCATAGCTTCAAAGAATGTGACGTAGATGGAACTCCTTTGCAATATAAATACTATTGCGTAATTCACATGTCCTCGTTACTTGGCCATTTCATTCATCATTAATTTGATATATTTCCTTCCTTGTGTGTCCAACAGTAACGAGAAATACCAAGCTATTATTTTGAAGGTTGTTTAAAAATGCAGAGGGACATATTTGATGGTGGTCGCAAATGCAGAAACCTCTCTCGTCCGCTGGGCGTTCACGAAGCTAGTCAGTCGCCTTTCACGAATTCTGCAGAAGGCGCTGCAAATAATGCGACAAGGGGTTCGTAGACGTCTGATGGATGTCTTCTTTGAGCTTGGTTTCTTGCGTATACTTAGTTCAATTCAATTATGCCTTATTTTACGAGGAGATACTCAGGCCATGAGGGCTGCTCCACGCAATTTCGCCATTCCTTTCACAATTCAACGGCGAAAGAAGGTATTATTCGGGAGACAAAACAGACAATTTGAATTTAGCTCAGAGGCTTCTTTTAAACTTGAATATAATTTAAAAGCAGTAAATCTACTACATGAGATAGCCGGTTTTACTTCCCACCCGAAAGATGGCGTGCGAAGGTTGTTTTCACCTTTAAAAATACACGGATTCGATCGGGTTTAAACCCGCAAACTTGGGTATATATGCCAACCGTTACACAATTAATCGTAATCCTTCAAATGCACACACTAAAAATCGGAGTATTTAATATGAAAGAAACTGGGAAGCCACAATCCGTGTCTGAATAATTCCATTGTTGTGAGCTGCTGCACGTGATCGGGGTGAGGTGCCTCGCTGTCTGACTGAAGGGGCAGCAGTTTGAACACGTCTGATCGTGGGTGGAAGAGATGGCTCGGTGGGTAATGGCTTAGAAAATGGTTGTACTCTCTGTCTACACACAGATACAGATATATCGTTAATTTTTGAAAATTTGATATGATCTGATTTGTTTTCCCCCCAAACAGTAAAAACTGAATATAACGTATGAATGGAAGTATAATTTCACATGTTTTAAAATTGGGTTTTTTGAGTCATCTTATCCATTTCGCCGTTTTCCTGTATATAAAACGAAAATTGTAATGTGGGTGTCAAATGTCAAAGTGTCAATGTGAAAATATATTCCAACTAATGTTAGGTAATATCACGAGGGCTTTGAACTTTATCTCTAATTTGCAAACAAAAAACGAGAATTATTAAAGAACGA